TATAATGTAATTATTAGCTTGTTGTCTGCAAGAACAACAGACTTGAGCCTTTCCCTTTAATCCAGCAACTCTGTGGCCCCTACGTCTTCATCATCTTCACCATCTTGCTGCTCGGCTTCTTCGTCTTCACCTACTTCAAGGTTCCAGAAACTAAGGGCTGCACTTTTGATGAGATTGCAGCGGGCTTCCGCCAGACAGCAGGTCAGGGATCTGACAAGTACTCAGCCCCGGAAGAATTCAACACCCTGAGGGGGGATGACCCTGATCTTTGAAAATTTGTTCATGTAGGGAACACTGTTGTCCATGTTTTAGATATTTCATCCATTAATGTTAGAGCCAGTAATCCACAGTGTAGGGGCTTTCACACAGAGTTACCATGGGCTTGATCTGTAGCACAGCAAACTGTTGGTCACTGGTAAAAATGACATCCCAGTAGGCATTCAAAATGAACCAAGTGTCATTTTGTAACAGAAAAAAGCCGGGTTAAGTATATGGAATCACTATATAGAACCCTCTCCTTATTTATTACAGGAAATAGAGTTTTGAACCTTTTTTTTCTTTTTGCCCACACGTCTCTTTCAGTTTTGGAGTTAATGATATAAAACATTAGATGGACTGTTTCATGTTTGATAGGTGACAGAAAATCTTGGTTGTGTGCTTTTTTATATACATTTGATTTTGTTTAATAATTAAGACTTTAGTCAAACGTAATATGTTAGAACTACAAATGTGTTTACATGTGTGTCAAACAGAGAAAATGAAACTTAACAAAGTTTAATAATTGATTTTTTTGTCTTTCTGAGTTATTAAATTAATACCTATAAAATGGCACTGGATGTGATGTGACATACATGAAGCTTGACTTCTGCATTGTGTGGCCTCACTGCAAATGCATGTTAGTGTTTCGTCTCCCTGTACGCTCCCGATGTTCCCACTCTGCCTGCAGAATATCTTTGGAGAGTCTCCAATGCTTTGAAATGTTTTTCCTTCAATTCAAGTAAAAAGCATAGACGAAGAATCTTGTTGAAAAGAAGTTAGTCTTCTTAGCCTTTGGTTTATATTGAAAAATGGATTTTACCCTCAACTATAATCTCTGGGAAACCTATCCAATTATTTTGGTGCCTAAATCTAACCACACACATGTTGTTCAGCTCCATGATGACAAAGCTCTAACTATTCCAAACATTAATACTTTAATTAAACATTCAAAAAATAGAAGTGCTAGATCTCCATCACTCATTTTCCAAATCAGTCTTATTTATACAGTGCCAAATCACAGCAACAGTGATCTCAAGCCATTTTGTATCCTAAGGTAAAGACCCTTTATTAATACAGCCAGATGGCCACCTCTGTTCAAGCACCTTTGCAATAGTGGAAAGAAAATCTTCCTTTAAACTAGAAGAAACCTTTAGCTGAACCAGGGTTCAGGGACAGGGTGTCTGTCTCCCGAATCCAAACTGGCAGCTTGTTCCACAGAAGAGGGGGCTGAAAGCTTAAGACTCTGCCTCCCATTCTGCTTTCAAATATTTAAATAATATCATTAAATATACCATACTAACGTTACAGGACCAAAACTTGTGTTTCAGTTTCTCTCCTCTATGTTAAGTACATTGCTCCCTTTATTTAGAAAATAGACATAACAATGAAAACACCACTATTCTCATGCTAACACACGTTAGCATGTTGGACACACTGAGTGTGAAAGTCAAGCATGCTGTAGAGGTATTTTACAGTTGTCAGAGAAAACACTGCAAACATCAATGCGTGTGGGAAGGAAACTATTTACTGAGACCACTAATCTACACAAACACATTAAACATCTTTTTCAGCAACATTATCTTACCCATATCGTATATTTAGACATTCAAATAATATATTTGGCCCATTTAAATGTGTTTATTTTATTATAAGTGAACAAATAGACCTCAAACATGAACTGTGAAAATGCCTGAATATAGGCCTTTTGTGTTAACCAAAGTTAAGTCACTGTCATATAACATTACGTGTATAATTACATGGTTCACATGCTGCTCCAAGGCAGAGCTGAGCTCTCTGGAGCTGCTCCTCCTGCTGGTCCTTAGAGCAACTAGGGGCAGGGGGCCAACCACAGCAGACGTAGGACCTGATGGGACCTGTAGTTCTTTTGATGGGCCTGGACACGGTGATTAGAAACACTCATACTTGTTGAACAGGCTCAGTTAATGAAATACTGAGAGTACCAGGAATGGGTAGACTGTACAATTCACATTCATCTCTCATTATGACCACAGGGTATGTATCTGTACATGTCTGCATTTTACCCAACTCCTCAGCAAGTGGGCAAACGAAAACCAGTTATTTTGTCCTTTTCTATCATGCTCAGCATCCTCATGCAAGGGCGATGTTGGTTTGTCTGTTTGGATTTGTTGAAAGCGTTACATTCAGTGTGTGTCACCTGTATGCAGTAGCGGTTTTTGATACGGGCGACACGGGCGGTTGCCCGGAGCGGCATCGTGGTGGGGGGCGGCATCACGGGCATCGGCAAAAAAAATAAATAAAAAAATGCTCGTACTCATGCTGCCCCGACGTCAGCCAGCACATATTGGGAATGGTACAGGCACCAATCGGTTTTCTATCGCCCATTTGCTGGCAGTAATGGCGCCCTCCGTTTGCGAGGTGCCTGCTGCTTGCGGCACAGGGAGGAGAGGGCGGGGCGGCGGGGGATTCTCTGACTGGCTG